TTACATAAAGCAAAGCTTGCAGCAACAACAGAAAACCAATCCAGTAGGACACACAATATGTAGGTTTTTGTTTCGTTTTGAGAATCCCTGCATCATCTCCCAAGTAGATGACACCTCGGCAAAACAAAAACAAAACAACAAAATGGAACAAAAATCAAGCACTTAAGAAAATTTATAGGAGTAACAGATTGACAACAAGACAACCTCATATACTTATAAAGGAAACACTATGCTTCTAAGGAGCCCTCAGCCAAAGAGGACAGTGCAAAGAAAACAAAGATAAGCACATAAGTTCAGTGAAAATGGAAACCATTACACCAAAACATGTGTCCAGCCCCAGCACGAGTGAGCAGACACTTCCAGCAAAAAGGAAAGCCTCAAGACCACACTCTACATTCCTAGGCTCAAGAAGCTAGACATGAAATTACTAACAAAAAGCAAAGGGAAGGAAATAATACAGAAAGAAAAAAAAATCAATGAAACAAAAATTAATCTCAAAAAGCAAGAAAATAAACCTCTAAGAAGGCTGACAAATGCTTTTGTTGCTTTGTTTTAACACAAATTATTAACATCAAGAAAGAAGCTGTTTCAGTTACTGCTGAGATGAAACACCAAGACCAAGGCAACTTATAAAATGAAGTTTAATGTGGTTTAAGGTTCCAGAGGGTCAAAGATTTTGATGGCAGAGAGAGGATGTGGCAGCTGAAGTTTCAGCCAAGAGCTCACACCTCTATCCTCAAAGGGCACATTATTATTGACTACAGGCATTTGAAACATTAAGGCCCGCCCCCAGGGCCTTACTTCCTCCAACAAGGCCACACCTCCTAATCCATCCCAAACAGTTCCACTAAAGTGGAGCCAAGGATTCAGACACACCAGCCTATTGGGCCTGTAGCCCACTACAACAGAACCCAGTCTTCTGAAACAATAAGGATGCTACAAATCCATTAATCCAACAAATTAGAAAAAACGTGCCCCTTTCTCAAAACCCACAAACCACCGAAGTATAATCAGGATAAAGCTGGCAACCACAGTAGTCCTAGAAGCACATAAACACACAGAGTTAGGTCTAGAATCTAAAAATGTACATCCCTGCCCAGAAGTCTAAGACCACATTCTCACAAGAGAAGTCAATACTGGCTAGAGTGCTTGCCTACCATGTATGAAGACCTAGGTTTGATTCCCCACCACTGCATACATGCCTGTAATCTCAGCACATGGGAGGCCGGAGGCAGGGAGAGTAGAAGATCACACACCAAGCACAACTTTGGCTACATAGTGAGTTCAAGGATAATCTAGGTTACATGAGGCCCTGTCTTAAAAAAAAAAAAAAAAAACACAAAACAGAACCCCCAAAGCATTAATACTGCTTTTTTCATAGTTTCTTCTGGAAATACAAGAGGGGGACTATTTCTCAAGTCATTAAGGCCTTAATATCAAAAGCAAACAGCCATACCACCTCTCAGGTGTAAAAAAATCTCTCAATAAAATACTCAATTCAATCACCCAATAGTGTATGTAAATAATATGTTCTGCCCAAATACGACTTATCCTGGGCATACAGAGAGAATTTAACAATGCAAACCAAACACTGTAATACACCATGTCAACAGGCTACCAGAATCATAGTGCAAACATATTAAAACCTAACTAAAAATTCTTAGGAACTTAGGAGTTGGGGTAAAACTTCCAATTTTTATCACTTTATAAAAATATCTTCAAAATACTTGTCTCTAACATATGACTTTACTCTTTAGACAGCTGCCTTTATGACTTCTATTGAACATAATTACTAAGTTCTAGTCAGTGAAATAGGGCTGGGAAAGAAATGAAATGCTCCCTATGTGCAGATGAAGCGAGTGTCTACAGGGATTGCCCCCAAAAAATTACTTTATTTACTTATGTGTATACATACATGCACATGTGGATTGTGCCTATGATGGGGGCACAAACTCAGAGGAGGTCAGAGGACCCCTCCCATCCCAGATGCGCTGGGATTAGATATGTGCTATCAAATCCTGCTCTATGTGAGATTCCATTCTCAGCATGGAAAAAACCAAACACAGCTCCAGGGACAGGCTTATACACAGAGCACCACTAATCCCGACATCTGGGGTCTTCTGTTAGGCACACTGTGGCATCAAAAGGTTCTCAATCTAAAGGAGGGGCCCATTGCCATGGGATGCCAAGGGGTACAAAGAAGAATGAAAATCAGCTCTGACCTGTGAATTCTGCTCTTCGAGGAACAAGTTCAAAGCTGAAGACATTCATATACCTCACAGAGGTGTGACTGTCAATCAACATTCATCGACTTTGCATTTCTACTTCATACTGACTATGCTTCCGGTTGAGAATGTGTACAAAGATCAATAGGTGTGGAAAAACAAATATGACATAAAAACACTAGAAAAAGCAGCCAGTGGGTGTGTGGAAGGTTTTTATTGTAAGACAATCAGTTGTTCACCAAGAAATGGTTTGGCAAGTCAATCTTCCCAGAGTCTAGAGGCAAATATTAAGTAAAAGGGTAATTTTATTACAATGACCTCCACAGGGTAAACAAAATGTTCTTTCAAGATGTTTTCAGAAAAATCATTAATGGAGGAAACTGTGAAGACATCTCTAATTCAGTATGCATCTCTACTGTGCATCTCTAATGAGGCTCTTCCATTACAGGGAAGATACAAGGGTGTGGGGTTCAGCTCAGTAGGAGAGAATTTGCCTTAATGAGGCAAGCCCGAGGTTCAATCTCAACACATCAGTGGGGGGAGGATATAAGGACACAGCTTTTAAGACACACTCTATGTCTCCTATCACATGTTGCTGGGGGAGAAGAGGAGCCCCTAGCTAAGCAGGACCTCTGTGTAACCTCCCATTAGTGTCCCAGTGGGTCATACAATCATAAAGGCTCCTTTGTGAGAAATGCATTTCACAGTAACTTATCAAAAGCGCAATTGAAGATCTCAATGGTTGAGTAAAAAACATTAAACAAGTCCAAAAAGATAGAGACCCTGTCTCAGCTTAGCCTATGTAGTTTACGGGCAGAAGCAAGATTGTGAGGGCAGCCAAGAATAGCTAGGGGAAAAAAATCACTCATGGACAAACATTCTAAGTGTATTTAATAGCCTCACGTCTGGCTAAGTCCTCTTATCCATCAGTAGTTTATTCCTCTCCCCACCAATCCCAACATATCCTCTCCCCAAACAAATCTCTCAAGAACTTATTGTTAGAAACCTACCCTGGTCATTAACTTTACCCAAACCCATGCATTAACCTTTAAGCTACATCCCAAACTACTGGAGTGTAGTTAACACCCACATAGGAAGAACCATTAACTGCCTTAGAATTTAGATTGTGACTTTTAAAGCCCCATATCTGTCATCTCAAATCATGGTGAATGACATTGTAATTGGCTTCCTAAATAGTATGGGACCCAAAATAATTGTGACTACCTTCACGTCATGCACTATTCCTAGTAAACAGGGAAGGAGAAAATTTCTCCCCAGATGATCCCACCACCTGCAGAGGCCATTACCCTGGTCAGCAGTATAAAACCCTTAACAGCTTCCAGAAGATCCTTAAAATGCACAGGGTTTAAAGCACATATGTCAGGGTGCCCTGTTAGCTGAGCACGCCCACGGTAGAGTACGCACGCCTTAGGGTACTTTATGGTGGAACAGTGGCAAGCACCAGTTCAGAAAAAGACTACAAGTAACAGCTAAAGTCATAGCGGATGTAAGACTTCCAGCCCCTTTCAGTTAGGAGGGCTTAACAGTCCCCGAAACTCAGGCGACGTGCTGCTAACATATGGTTCAGATACCAAATGTGCTAACTGATACCATGAACAAACTCCTGATGTCTTCTGCAGGACAGGCTAGCCTGACACATACCAAACTTCTTTGTGGACGATAAGGATCTAAATACAAACTTTTGCTTTTGGTGGAGAAGCAACGTGCAGAGTCATCCCTTCCCTGGGGGTGAACCAGAAATTTGCACAGCCCAAGTCATAAGCTAAGAGGTCTAAGAGTCAAATCAAGTCCACAGGATGTCTCAATCTGGCTTTTAACAGTGACAAAAGGAGCTCAAGTTGTTTTCAGTGTTTAAATGCTGGGCTATTTGACTTCAGAATCTGCAGGCTGGTCATGATGCAATATCGAAACTCTTGTACTCTAAGCTCTCATGTCTCCACAGCCATAATTGGGGGCAACCTTAATGCTGATAGGGCAGTCATTCTCCAAATACCACCCACCCTACCAGCTCTGTTCCCTCGCCAGTTTTACTGTGCATCACCATGAATATTTTCTGCCATTCTTGGTCAAGATTCTCGCACAGATCTGGTAGTTGTTATCCGGGGAGGAGTCCCAGGACAGGATGAGTTTGATCAAATGAAACTATGCATGCAAGAAATCTCAAAAATAAGAATATAGTTTTAAAAAGATTCTAACAATGCCTTTAGTCCTTAGAATAAAACATTTCAATCTAATCTCATCCATACTAAATCCAGTCCCTTGAAGCAAGAGTGAGCTTAACAGAGAATTTGGGCATAGAAGCATCTTTAGGGTTCTATGCTGGTTCTGCTGATACACAAATCTCTGCAAACACTCACTAGGGAAATGATAAGCTTGTCCATCTCTTTCTTTACACTCCTGGTGGTTATTAAATATATATTATTTTATATATCTGACCAAGTTTCTTTCCAACACAATGACAATAATATCTAAGCTTAGTGGTTAAAACCAGTTACACCATGGTTATAAGCTTCGGCTGGAAGGCTGCAGAGATTCAAACTTTGTAGCTCAATAGGCTGATGTTTATACCTCCATAAATTCATTCCACAATTTACAAGTTAAAAAAATTGTTGTGACCTCCAAACATCATCTGCTTCCATCAAAATATGGAATAAGACACTCGACCAAGGCTTTAAAATGATACCCCCAACCTCAAAACCAATATTATAACAAGCACACACCAACTGTCTCTTTCCTTACCCGGGTATGGCTTACCCATTGCACTGAGATAATGGTTGAAGGCCTGGCAAGGAGGACTTGGGGTTTGTGTTGACTTGTCACAACTCATGGGTGCCGGACTCCTGTCTGTGTCAAAAGAGAAATACCCACTGGAGGACCGGGACAGCAGAGAAGATCTTCTCACGAGGATGAAAAGTGGGGATCTGGTAGCAAAAGGGCCAGGGCTGGCCGGTGGGGCCAGCGGGCCCTGAGGGCTGCCGTGGGGGCAGCGGTCCCCTTCACCGTCGGGATTACCTTGCGGTTCTGTCTGTAGGGAGGTAGGGGCCCCAGGTCTGAGCTGGGGAGGCCTCTCAGCAGGCTGCAACTGTCCACCTTCTCTGTCACACTCAGAACTTACATCAGAAGGTTGCTTGGCCATTTGGTCTTTTTTTCTGCAGGGAAACCGAAAAAAAAAAAAAAAAACCGATTATTTTCAGCAAACTAAACCATAAAATCATTTCACCTACTCAAGAATTCTAGAGTCAACCGCATACCTTTGTTATGTTGTTTACTTTTCTGACTATCTTCCAAGTAAGATGAAAAGTACACCCAAAATAATTAAGGTGTTTATTTTGGTGCAGGGTGGAACTAAGTAAGACCACCAAACAAAACAAAGTATCAACTCCGTAGTTTGTAAGGTCTGTGCGTTCCCGCACAAACACAAGCACAGAAGTTTCCTGAGGAGCAGCTAGTGGGAAGCCTACTAGATTTCGTGATTTCGTTCAGGATAAACTTGAATCAAGTCTGAAAGTCCCAGCGGGCTCTCATTTCCCGGGTTCAGACGCGGCGCTGGAGCACAGGAGCAGGCGCAGATGCAGAGATTGCAGGCGGCTGGCCGCCTTCCCTGCTCCGGCCCCATTGTTTGCCGAAAATGCTGAGGGCAGCAAGTCTGGAGAAGGTTTGGCAGCGGCCGTCAGTCGTAGTAAGTGCGTCACAATAGAGTTTGTAACTCCGAGCGCAGCTCCGCCCGGGTCCAGCGCCCTCGGCCGCAAGGTCCCTCCTGCTCCCAGCTCCTGCGCGCTACCCCAAACACGAAACCACTTCTCTCGGGAGCAACCTTGCTGGAATGTGTGTACAAATTCAAATGGGGGCCTCCAGAACCATCCCTCTGCAAGCTCCACACCTAGCTGCGCTCACTCGGCAAACACCCGGCGCGCGGGTCCACCCCGTAGACTCTTTCCCTCCCCGGGGCTACCACGCTGAGACTCACGTCCTCCCCTTCCCTTCCGAGCGCGGTGTCCCGCGCCGATCGGATGACCCCTGAGCGTCGCCACCGAGGAGACAAGGAAAACAAAGCCGGGCCCTGGGCTCTAGAACCCCGCGCCTGCCCGTCCGCCCGCCGCCACGCTCCGCCGGGGAGCCCAAGGTTTCGCGCGCCGTGCTTCTGGCCCGCGCTGCACCGGTCACCGCCGGGATCATCCTCCGCCTCCTCCCGCTCCGCCCCTCGCGCGCAGCTCCCGCCGCCGCGCGGGCACCGCCAGCCCTGCGCTGCCGGCGCCGGCTGCCAGTGCTCCCCATTGGCCCACGCTCGGTGGTTCCTCATCGGAGCCAATGGGCAGAGGCGGCGGGGGCGGCGCCTACGGGTCAGGCAGCCGAAGGCGAGGCGATTGTTGACAAACTCGCCGCCCAGCGCCGCTCCGGCTGTGCGGGCCGCCGCAGCTCTGGCTGGAAGTTAGTGGGCCGGGCTGCTTCGCTCCGCGCCCCGCCCCACCCCTGGGCCCGGCCCGAACGCCGCGCGCCCTGCGGGAGTTCCCGCCGTTCGGGCAGCGGGACACTAGAGACAAAGCGGGACCCGTGCCCTCCTGAGATCCGCGGGGCCACGATCCCAATCCAGGATTGGGATCTTTGCTTGGGGCAAAGATCCTAACGGCCTCCGCAGTCCGGAGCCGAACTTTTCTGCAACCTCACCTGTTGTGTTCCATGTGCCACCGACAAGCACCAAATATGAACAACCATCTCGGGTCTCGGGTGTATACATCCAAACTGCGGTCCCCAGCGTCCAGTTAGCCCTCCGCAAGCAGCGCCTGTCTGGGGGGCAACAGACCCGGGAGCTCACCGAGCCGTCAGCCTGTGCGACTGGGTCTGGGTGCGATCCGGCTCCAGAACCGACCGGGCAGTCAGCTGGCCGGGGCTCAGAACACGCGTGGCCTGTGTCCTGGGAGACCTATGGGGTCTCGGATCCTGTAGATACTGTGGCCCTCAGCGTCCAAAAGGACGCTCGCAAAAAGGACAGGGCCGCCAGGGACATCCGGGAAAGCGAAATTGGCCACCGTGGTCAAACCGTGGCTTCAATGAAAACAAAGTCTGAGCGCGTGTGATTTTAATACTCAAACCTCCGCAATGAACCGCGCCAGCGAAGAGCCAAGTCCACCGACCCGCGGCCAACGCGCGGCTACTTCTCCCGAGTCGCCTGACTTGAGGCGACCTTCCCGGCTGGAGGCATTGCCGGGCACCACGGAACCGGTCCTGGGCTCCAAATTGAGACTACGCGCCCTCCCGACCCGCGAGAGATGCCTCACCAGCCCTTCGTGCGGCATCCCGGCCCAAGCCAGACTTCGGCTAAATGCCCGCAGTTTCTGTGCCTACAACCCTATCCCAGAAGTGCCCTGCCAGGAAGGGACCTCGGCCCGACTCGCTTCATTCGCAAGCCGCAGCCGCGCGCCAAGCGGGACAAACCAGCACCTCCACCCGCACGTGCGACACCAGAGACCGATGAAGGCGCTCTGCTGCGGCGGCGCCTATCTTCTATCCGTCCCCGGCCTGCGCTTCGGGAATCGCGAATCGCGGAGTGTTTACCTTGCGTTTCTCAGTCCGAGAATCAGAGTCAGACATTGGGGGGACGAGGGCCAGGGGAAGGGCGCCGAGGCGTTGGCGGCGGGGAGCAGCAGAGGTTGTGTAGATGCAAGTGGGGCACAGTTCGCAGAGCGGCTGCAGAAATCCGGCGACGGCGACAGCGGCAAGGACCGCGGAGCTCCAACCAGCTGGTGACCCAGTGCCTGCGAGGAGCGAAGTGAAACCAGCCTGGCCCAGCGACTCTGCTCCTACTGGGCCCCCGCTCCCGTGCCCAATCACCGCGGGCTCCGCCCCCGCTCGGTCCGGCCCTCGGCGAGCCGGAAAGCAAGCCCCACCCCTCACCCCCCCTCGCGGCCCCCAGGCCACTGGCGCGTGCAGGCTGCGACAGGTACTGGCGAGGGTAGCCCTGCAGCTTCCCTGCAGCGCGCGCGCGCCGCCCACCCCAACATGTTTACCCTAGTGACTTGGCCTGCGGGCAGCTGCATGCAAGCCCATCCTCCACCCACCCCAATGTACCCGCCCCTCCCTTCCCCTCCCTGTCCGCCGGCAGCGGCCACCTCGCAGAGCGGAACTTAGGGGGCGCTCAGGGCACACTGCTCTGTGTCCAGCCTGGCAACGGGCACCAGTGGTAAGCCTCAGGAGGAGCTTCTGCGCCCTTGCTTTGCGGAGCTTCTCAGCCCCAAGGCATGGAGACTGACTTGGTGCAAGCATGGGCCCTGGCCTTTAACTGTCCTCTCCAAGAATTCATTGCCTCCGGGGAACCCAAATCAGCAAGATGCTCGCCCCTCCTCCTCTGCGCCTCATGCGGGACTTTTTAACACCGCTGCCTTCTGTCGCCATCTAGGCTCTCCCTGGTCGTGGTGTGTGTGTGTGTGTGTGTGTGTGTGTGTGTGTGTGTGTGTGTGTGTGTGTGTGTGTGTGTGTGGTTATTTTCCCCAGTGCATGGTTACTTAAGAGGCAGAGTTGGTGATGGGAAAGACAGTTGAGCAAAGGGCAAGGGAAAATCCTAGGTCTACAGCGCAGCTTCGGGTTGCAGTAGGCGTGCATGACAAGAAACTAAAATAGGGAATGAGAAAGTAACTTCAAAGGAATAATTATAAGGAAAGATGGGGGCTACCGAGGAAAGACGGTTGTACCACGCATCGTGTTGGCAGCCTCGAAATTTATTGGGCTCACAGAGTACCGCCAGGAACTATCAGCCCGCTGAAGCTGGCTACCGCGGAGCAGCAGAATTCAGGTCGGGCTGGCAGAATGAGGGGGTCGAAAAATGAATCCCCTTGACTCTCCCGAGGCTTTCCTGTACCCAATCGAAGTCTCGAAGTCAATGGTGCCACAACGCCCCTCTCCCTCTCGCCACAGCAGTTGGTTGGGAAAAGTTGGTCTGGAAATAGAGCACCCGGCATCCTACGTGTAAAGATTGAGGAAACTCGATTTAAGGGCTACCCAGCCCGCATCCAGGCTGGCAGAGAGAAGGAAGTGACCTTTTCATGAACAAGTAACATGACCTATCGCCCCAGCGTCTGACCATCTTGGTCATTTCAATGTTTATAAGCGGTTCTAACGTCAACGTGACACAGCACAGCCTTCGGTCCTCAAGTGACTCCGGAGGGAGATCAAAGAAGCCATTGGTTCCCAGGGGGGCTGGGAGGGCTCGCAGCAAAGCCTTGTCTCTTCTGTGGGCCAGGGGTGTTCACTGCAAGAGTGCACGGGGCATTGGTGTGGATTCAGCCAAGTAAGTGGCGTCTATCTTGGCCACGGCAGCGGCTGCGAGCTAGTGCTGTGCCTTGGCCAGTCCGCATCCCACCCATGCAACCAGGTATGCTGCTGCTCTGAGAGCTCCCAGCCCATAACAAGTGTTCAGGCTCCTCACTCTCAGCCGGGAGCCAGGCACCTCAGAACCGGACTAGAAAAAAAAAAAAAAAAAAACGCACAAGGAAGAAAGAAAGAAGTCTTATCGCCCATTTCTTTGTAGGAGCAAGCTGTCTATGAGTCTTTCAATTTGGCAACTCTGGGCTCACTAACAGAAAACATAGGCACTGGGGAAAGCAACGGCCTTGGCTATGTGCTCTTATTTAGGGCTTAATCAAGAAGACGGCCTGGAAGTGAAGGCTCTTGCATCACCAGGGAACAAGGCAGTTTAGGAAGCTTCCACCAAGCGTCTCATGACAGGTGGCTGCGGGCCCTTGGCACTTGCAGCCCTCTCTGGCAGCGTCAGAACTCCTGGGATCAGATTTGAAGGCAGAGAAGAGCAACGTGGGAAGGGCCAGGGGGTCACCCGTGCTTTCCCGACGCTGGCAACCGGATGTGAAGAGAGGGAAGCGAGACGATGGCTCGATTTGAGAATGAAACTGGGCAACCCCGATGTCAGAAAATAAATGAGAAATTCATTCCCGCCTGTGTAATCTCTCCAAATTCCAAAACCAGTTTATTGTAGCTATTCCCCAGGCCCTTCTCCCCTACCCCTCCAAGCCGCGGGAGCACTTTTCTATCGCTTAATATATTAAAGTTGGCATCTATGCTTCTCTAAAGGGCGGGTTACAGTTTAGTGCGGTGAAACGCCTGTCGCGCGTCCTCCTGCAGTCCGGGGATCGCCTACCTGGTAGGACCAGCTCGACTCCAGGGCCACACTCCCCTTTCTCGCCGGCGTGTTTCCTAGCAGAGCTGGACCAAGTCTGAATCACTAATCATCCCTTGCTGAACTTTTGCCCGCGCTTGGAGTGGGTGGAGCTTTTCTCCACCCCTTTTGCCTGAGGGCGTCTGATTTTGTGTTTTGATTTTTTTTTTTTTTTCACCCAGCACCGGAGTTTTTCGAAGTCACTGGAATCTGAGTCACCGATGACAGCAGAGATCTTTGGTGGCACCGGGCTCTAGGCAAGACTACCCAATTGTCTGGACTGTGAGAGATCAAGGCAAGGGCCAAGAGAGGTTACCAGACTAGGATAAAGTACAGTACTCCCAGGGCATCCACCTCCTCCCGGATAACCTGTCCTGAGCCTTGTCAACCTTAGCCAGACCTCCTCCTCTGTGTGATCAAAACCCCTCAAGGGTGGCAGCCCTGCACCTGCCACTTAGGCCTCTGCTCCAGCTCTGGGAGTTATTCGAAGAGAACTCCGTGGCAAGCTGCGGATCAGCCACTGCATTTCTCGCTACGCCTGGGTCACAGTTTGGACAGTCGCCGCGACCCTTCCTGCACCAGCGTGGGAGTAGGCGCCCGGGGGCTGAGGACTCCAGCGATTGGTGCATGGAGGTTGGTGTGTGGAATGTTGAAGGCAGAGATCACCTTCAGGGCATCATCCTTCACCGACTCGCACAAATCCAGCAACTGCAAAACACGACACAAAGGGACAGGTCGGATGTGGGCTCGTTCACGGAGGACTTTCCATCCGCCCCCAGTCACTTAGAAGGGCAGAAATTCCCCACAACACAGAAAGTTATTGTTTCTAAACAGCCTGTGTCTTCTTTAAAATTTCTAGGTCTTTGACCCCCAGGTCCGGCCGAAATCTAGGTTTTTTTCGCTAAGAGTCTAAGGGTAAGTGTTCTTTCCCAAGATTATCCTGGTAGCTGGAGACCGAGGTCTGATAATTAACGCTGCCTCCTCTCCGCTCACATTTCTTCTTCCCGCCCTTCTTCTCCACCTCTGGAGTGCCACCCTCTGGCGCACAGAGGCAACTGACAAGAAGAGCCACTGAAAAGCTGAACGGGAGAAAAGACTGGCCCCATCATGCCAGAGGGGTGCCAACAGAGCCTGAGAGGCGGCAAGCAAGACTGGAGTGGACCACCAAGGAAGCCAAGGTTAGGTGCTGACCACTTTCCGCGCTCTTCAACTATGCAAAATGGACTAGCGGTGGCCCGTGCTCTGCTAGCTAGTACAGGTACATCCAGATAGACTTCCCAGAAGGGAGGAGTTGTGGCCGGCCAGAGCTTTGGAGAAGTTGCACTGGCTAGCTGTGTTTCTATTTCATTTTCCATGATTTAGATGCCAGCACACACACACCCCAGGCAGCCGGAATAAAGGATTATTTTTCTAGATCTGCACAAGGGCAGAGGCCTGTTTTTCTTTTCCTGAAACAGCTACATACTATAACTTCGACTTTTTTCAAGACTTCATAAAGCTAGCTATACATTTCTTTGGCTGACTAAATCACAACAACCTCCGGGCTTCATGGTTTATTTTTATGGTTTTAAAAACCACTTTTATGGGCCCGCCTTTGTCCTTGCATGCTATCCATATTTTAAAAGTGTTCTTTCCCTGCAGCAGCTCCCCCAAAAGAAAACATTTCAGGTGTCCAGAAACTATAGTGGTTTTCCAAATAAAAAGGAGAAAGGGGGAAGAAGTGTGCGGGGGGGGGGCTTTTTCCTTTAAAATGTACCCTATTGTACAAGTGATCTAGTGAAGAGCTTCGTTCTTCACACACCATGGTTAGGAACCATCGAATAAGTACTGAAAAGACTTTGATCACATTAGCAAGATGTGACAAGACAGACTGTAACTGACTGAGATTTCCAAGTGTGTAATTAATACTCTTGACAAATCCCCAACTAATCTGTTAACTCTTGATGTCTTTAACCACACATTTCAAAACCATGAGATGGTACACACAGCCCCTGGACTTGCCACATGGAGCCATGTAATTATTCAAGAGAATGTTTCCTTTGGGTTTCATTAAGGCAGCCAGGCCAACTCTCGTCATATAATCGCCAATAAGGGAAACTCACTTTGAAAGAAGGCTTATGAGAGAACACTACAGGTCTGGTTTGTCTAATGATATATATATATCATTAAAGGTGAGAAGTAGACATTACAGAAAGTGATTTCTATTTGCTATAGGAAGAGAAGGAGGAAGAATCAAGAGGAAGAAGGAAGAGGAAGAAGAAGGAAGGAAGGAGGAGGAGGAGGAGGAGAAGAAGGTGGCGGCTGGTAAGGAAGAGTATTTCTATACTCATCATTCTCCAGGACACTGGAAAAGAACATTAGACTGCCTAGGAACACCATTGACTGGTTAAAATAGTTTATAAATATCAAGATCTGGAGTAGTTTAGCCTCCCCTCCCCCTTCAGCTTTCTCCATCCTTACTGCAACAGAACCCTGAATGTACAAATGGAAGGATGCGGCACGGCTCCTGTCATCCACCCCACTTCCATCCAGCTTTGCCTATTAGTAAGATCACAATTGTTACCTTCCTTTTTTTGAATTGTAGTCCTCTCCTGTGATGGGCACCACAGTGGACTTGAAAAGCTTACATGCACACTGCACACTGAAAACATTCCTAACCTCTTACATCAGGAAGCTATTGCAAAGTTTCAGAGGCTTCAAAGAATGAAAACTGAGTAGGGGCTGGAGATATGGCTCAGTGGTTAAACACACTTGCTGCTCTTGTACAGTTCCCAGCACCCACAAGGTGATTGACAGCTGGCTGTAACTCCAGTTTCTTGGGATGCCATGCTCTCTTTTGGCCTCCCTGGACACCAGAGACACACATGGTGCATATACATGTAAACAAACACTCATATACATAAAATAAAAATAAATCTTAAAATAAATAAAAACACAATCCCCTTAATACAAAAAAAAAAAAAAGTACTTGAGTAGGGCCTGGAAAGATGGTTCAGGGGTTACAAGCCCCTCATGCTCTGAGGACTGTAGTCAGACTTTCTTTGGACTGTTAGCTCCCAAATAATGGCATGAAACTTCTTGTTAATTATGGGAACTTGGCTTTATCTTAGGCTTATTCCAAACTAGCTCTTATAACTTAAATTAATCTGTTATATTAATCTACATTCTGCCATATGGCTCATTAACACTCCTCCATAGTGTATGTTCAACTTCCCCATGTCTCACCTGTGAATTCCCTATGTCTCAGATTCTTCCCAGAGTTCCTATTTCTCTCTGGAAGTCCCTTTTTATCCCCTCCTGCCTAGCTATTGGCCATTCAGCTCTTTATCAAGCCAATTAGAAGGTGCTTTTCACACAGTGTAACCAACTATCCTACAACAGAGAACCCAGGTTTGGTTCCCAGCAGCCAGGTCAGGAGGTTCACAACTGCCTGTAACACCAGTTCCAGGGGATCCGATGCCCTCTCCTGGCGGGTACTTTTATGTATGTATGTGGTGCACATACAGACTAGCAGACAGACAGAGACACATAAGATAATAAATAGCAAATAAGAACTAGAGCAAAAACATGAGGATCTAGAGTATGGATATACTATATAACCTGGGGGGAAGGGATTCCTGTCTTCTTTAGCTCCTTATACCCACCTGCTGTCACTAGTTTCTTCTCCCCTGTTTGACTCTCCCAGCACTGCCATATACAATTAGGATAGGATACCTAGCACCAGCAATCTCTAAGCTTCCCACACTCTAAGCTCTTTTATTTCCTCTCAGCAAGGCCCCGGCAATGTAGGAATCCGCAGGGTGTGGCACCCCACCCTTTGTACGCTGTGCACAAGGCTTTCCTGCCTCTGTGTGTCTTGCCTTTATTTCCAGTTCCAGATGCTTTTGGAGAAACACAAGATGAAATGCATGGAGAGATGAAGAGCTAATCAGACGAGCTCACTTCCTGCTTGGACACTATGCTAAGTTCTCTTTATCCATCCCATGAATTTGAGAGGACATTTGGCTCTTTTAGCCAGTAGAATGCAGAAAAAGAGAATTCCACCACCTAGGCCTTAAGGAGGCTTTGCAGTCCTGGTCTTGTTTCCCTGTGACCCTGATAACACTTGCTGTCTAGTAGAGTATGGAAACCTAATGAAGAAGGATCAAGGAGCCTTGACCAACTGCCAGCATCCACTGCGATGCTGTCAAAAGGCTTCCTTGCCCCTCCCAGCACTGTTCTACCCTCTTGACTGTTACCCCAGGAATGATCACATTTAATACTACCCAAAGAATTGCCAAGACTGCAGACTCACAGAACTGGAATTAATCATTATTGATGGCTAATGTCCAGAAATGCAAAGCAAATAAACTTGCTACATCAACTACACCCCATTTTCAAAAGGAACCAGTTGGAGCTGACTTCCATTATCTAAAGGACTATTTGGTATTGAGTAATTTCTTGTTCATCATTTTCAGTCAACTTGATTTTTGATGAACCTGGCTATTGGGAGAGAAACCAAAAGAGGAGGAATTGGGGCTGGGGATGGTTCAGCAGTTAGGAGTGCTTGCTGCTCTTGCAGAGAACCTGAGTTCAGTTCTCAGCACCCGCATTTGGTTTTAAGTGCCAGCAACTTCAACTTCATGGGATCCATGTATATGTATACATTCAGACACAGAGACATGCATGCACACACACAAAAATAAAATGAATCTTTTTTTTTTTTTTTAAAAGAAGAGTATCCACAGGGTGGAGAGATGACTCAGCTGTTACAGCGCTTGCCACACAATGAGGACCCACACCTATGCTATTAAACAAAAGATATCACATAAACTGCTACAGTATGCACCTGCCACGACAGAACTTGCTGGTGGAGGTGAGGATTCCTAGGGATTGCTGGCCAGACAGTCTGGCCCAGTTAGTGAGCTCCAAGTTTGGTGACAAAATCTTGTCTCAAAAAAAGAGAAAGAGAAGGAGAGTGACTGAGGAAGACACTTGAAGTGGACTTTGGCTACCACATGCACACACACATGTACATGTACATCCATGCACACACATATGTACATTTACATCCATGCACACACATATGTACATTTACATCCATGCACACACATATGTACATGTACACCCATGCACACACATATGTACATTTATATCCATGCACACACATATGTACATGTACACCCATGCACATACATACAATACATAAGCGTGTGCGCGCGCGTGCACACACACACACACAGGAACAGGAATCTTCAAATAATTGAGAAACGTTGTTTGAGCTAAAGATGTGATGGGGATAAAATTCAAGATACTGGTGAAATGAGATTTCTGTATTACTTATGTTTTGTTTTTTAAGACAGGGTCTTATTGTGTAGCCCTGGCTGGCCTGGAACTCGATATGTAGATCAGGCTACCCTCAAACTCACAGAGATCTACCTGACTCTGCCTCTCGAGTGCTGGGGCTAAAGTTGTGTGCTCCTTTGTGCAGCTTCTGTATTATTTGTGGCTGTCACTTAATATCTTCACTCCTGTTGTGACATATAACTGCTATTTTCACTTAATAGCCAGAGGCCTTGCTCTGGCTCATTCTCTCCCCATTTACCCCCTCTACACCCACCCCTCCACACCTTAAGATTTTTTACCTTGGCTAACTTTGATCGTCAACTTGACTGAATCAATAAACATCTAGAACATTCATGAGACGCATCTTTGTGTATGTGCATGTA